AAATTTTAAATAATTGAATTTTATTCGAAAAATTTTTTTTTTAGAAATGTAGAAACAAATTTAAAAAATTGAATTTTTTTTTAAATTTGAAAAGAAATTTTAAAAAATTGAATGTGATTAGAATGTTGGAAACAAATTGAAATAAATTGAATTTTCTCAATTTTTGTTTATTTTCAGAAATTCAACATTTGAGAAAATTGACATTGGGAAAAGCATTTTCAGAAAAGTTCTTAAAAAATTCTGGACTTTCAGGCAAATTTTCAAAAATTAAATTCTTCCAGAACAAAGTATAATTATAAGTAATAAATAAATATTAATTATGTTAATTATTATTTTTATCCAAATTGATCTAAATTAATTGTAGTAAATTTAGAAAAACTCTTCTCCAATCCTTTTTCCCACGGCAATTCATAATTTTTCCATGAAGTAAAACCCATTGATATAACAAAAAAAAAAAAAAAAAGAAGAAAAAACAAGAAATCAATGAAATAATATAATTATTCCTCTGAAACAATTAACCGTAGATTTTTCAGTATAACTACGTGTCATTGTTGGTAGTTGAGTATAGACACAATTCTCAAAGTATACCGTGTGAAGACCGTTAGATAGCGAATGCTTCTGCAAGTTGAGGATTTTTCTATGAACTTCCTCGATTCATTCCCGGTCATTCTCCTCATTCTCACGTCTCAACACCTCAAGATCGATGACAGGATCGAAGACTGTGACCGTTTGCAAGTATAATGAAACCTTCGCGGTATCGTCTTCTTCTCGAGGGGAATCAAGGGGGATCGAGATGAAGGAGAGGGGGTCGCGAAAAAGTCTACAGAGAGAAATGAGAGGCGAAGGAAGAAGCGAGAAGGAGTGAATAAATACCGGGAATAAATTAAACTAATTGAGCAAATTAGCCAGCTGTTCACGCAACAAACGCTCTCTGCTCGTGGAGTTAGTTGGCTCGAGAGCTACCGACACGCCGATATCGTTTACGCATCTAGGCACACTTTCTGCAAGTAACTTGATAAACTACATTGAGCTACACATTAAGCCATTTCTCTTCACCGGGAGAGCGTCAGGAATGTCTTTTGCAGGCGGAATTATTATCCCGTCGCGTCGTAATATCAATCACGTCGGTCAAGTTCACAGAGCGTTTATGATCAATGGATCACCGTCTTTCACATTTTTCACATAACGAAAATAACACAAATTGTTTCTTTGGAAATTTTTCTTTTAGAAATTCTAATATTGTCAATTAAGAAACTTCACTTCAAACATTTTATTGGTAACAGTTTAATTTTTATGTTCTTCATAAGAAAAGGTACAGAAACAAATAGGTGCTATAAAAAAAATAATAACACTTGGTAAAATTTACTTTCTTTGAAAAAAGAAAATTTTTGCCTTTGCCTTGATTTGATTTCTTTTTTCAATTAATTATTTTTAATAATTTTTGACGAAATCCTTTAATAAATACATTTGTTTACAATGTATTTAGTGAAATTTCACTAATTCACAGCGCATATACGCTAATTGAAATAGTGGCATACTTATCGCTGATTCAGATTTAGAGAGAAATTTTTGAAAATAATTGAAACTTTGCCAAGAATCTTATTAAAATCATAAAAATCATCCAACAAAAACACAAAAATAATTACTAATTTAAAAACAATAACTATACCTAACACATAAATTTTACAATCTCTTTTTTTCCGAAGATTCATCAGCCTTACGATATTTATTTCATAACCTGTTAATATGTTCCCGCTACTCTATACGTTTCCATCCTTTCGGAGTCATTAAATCACCGCGTTCAGATTGATTTACTTTGTTTGGATTATCAAATGTATAATGAGTTTTCAATTGGCAATGTAAATACATATGGGAAAATTTGCATTAATGATTCAGCAGAAATATACTTTATACAAAATGTGAGTTTGTGTATTTTTCAACAAAAGAAGGTAAAAAAAATATAGTCATTAATGAGCAAGACATATTTAGTAATGTGTGTTATTAAAGATTACTCTGTGATATGAACTCAACTCGGTTATTAGACTTCGGTATGTGTAATGAATCAATTCGTAATCATAGAGTAAAATACGTAGTTTTATTAGACTTGTGCAAAAATAGCTGCATCATTAAGTCCACTTTTCTTCGTTTATATCTTATAATGCAACTTGGAATTCTTCAGACGATTTGTGTGTGATGAGAGAGAGACTTATCATATTTTTTACGTAAAGGGAATATTCGTATTTTTACCCAACTACCGATAGTGTATAGAAATTAGAAACTCAGGTGAAAAAGTTTATTTCACTTAACAGAATTATGGAAGAAGTTCAATTTTACTATTTCAAAAATAATAATAAAAAAATAGGTATTAAAAAACAATTATTATTTTTCCCAAATTTATTTTTCCTAATTTTATTAATCAGGGTTGCCACAGGTCAGGGAAATCAGGAAACTCATGGGAAAATCAGGCAAAGTAGAATTGGTCAGGGAAATCAGGGAAAACGGAAAAGTCAGGAATTTTTATTAAAAGAACTTATAAATCATTTAATAAAGTATTTTTTGAAAATTTTTTATTTCAATTCTGTTGAAATTAGTTTCAATTTGAAAAATTACTAACGCAATTCTTTTAAAGAATTTAACTATCTTAATAAATATCAAAATTCTTTCCAGAAATTCAATTATATTCAAGAATTTCCAAAAAATTCATTGCAAAATTCAATTATTTTCCTAAAGAACAATATTCATCACAAGAATTCAATTATTTTTTAAATTAATAAAATTCATCGCACAGGTTCAATTATTTTCAAAAATCTAAAAAAAATGTCAACATTTCAATTATCTTTATAAATAGCAAAATTATTTGTCAAAATTCAACTATTTTCAGAAATTTTAATAAAATTCGTTACAAAATTCAATTATTATCAAAAATAGTAGTATTCATTACAAGAATTCAATTATTTTCAGGAATTTTAATAAAATGCATTGCAAAATTCAATTATTTTCATAAATAGTAGTACTCATCGCAAGAATTCAATTATTTTCAAAAGTAATAAAATTCAAAAATTTTAATAAAATTTAAGAAGAAGAAATTTCAATTATTTAAAAAAATTTTTCTTATTTAAATGATTTTCAATATTCTACTATTTGAATAAAATTTCTCAAAATAATTCAATTATTAAACAAAAATTTTGATAAAATTCTACACAAACACTCAATTGTTTTCTAAAAAAATAAAAATTTTAAAGGAATTCAATTATTTAAAATACAATTTGCATAAATTTTTTCTAAAAAATCAAATGTTTTGAAATTTGGAATTAAATTCATCACAAAAATTTAATTATTTTCAAAATGAATAAAATTCATTGCAAAAGTTCAATTATTTTCAGAAAATCTAAAAAAAATGTCAACATTTCAATTATCTTTATAAATGAATAACAAAATTTAACAACAAAATTCAATTATTTTCATAAATTTTAATAAAATTCATTACAAAATTCAACTAATTTTCATAAATAACAATATTCATCGCAAGAATTCAATTATTTTCAAAAATTAATAAAATTCAATTATTTTCAAAAAATTTAATATAATTTATAAAAAAATTTCAATTATTTTCAAAAATTTTAATAAAATTTATGAAAAAATTTCAATTATTTTCAAAAATTTTTCTAAATTAGATGATTTTCAATATTCTACTATTTTAATAAAATTTCTCGAAAGAATTCATTTATTAAACAAAAATTTTGATAAAATTCTACACAAACACTCAATTGTTTTCTAAAAAAATAAAAATTTTAAAGGAATTCAATTATTTAAAATACAATTTGCATAAATTTTTTCGAAAAAAATAAATGTTTTAATATTTGGCATTAAATTCATCACAAGAATTCAATTTTTTTCAAAATGAATAAAATTCATCGCAAAAGTTCAATTATTTTCAGAAAATCTAAAAAAAAATGTCAACATTTCAATTATCTTTATAAAAGAATAACAATATTTAACAACAAAATTCAATTATTTTTATAAATTTTAATAAAATTCACTACAAAATAAATTTTCAAAAATGTTTCTTAATTCAATAATTTGTATATGTGTTATTTTAATAATTTATTAAAAGTCAATTTGCATAAATTTTGTCGAAAAAACCAAAAAGTCAATTGTTTGAACATTCTTACAAAATTCTTCGTAATAATTCAATTATTTTCATAAATACTAAAACTCATTGCAGAATTTCAATTATTTTTAATACAATTTCCATCGAATTCCTCGAAAAATGTGATTAGCCTTAAAAATTTTATTAAAACTCACCGAAAGAATTCAATTATTTAAAAATTTGTTAATAAAATTCTTTATGAGAATTCAATTTTAAGAAACATTCAATTATTTAATAAATTGTTTATATTTGTATTTAAATAATTGAATTCTCATAGAATTTTCTAATAAAAATTAATTTAAAAATTAATTTTAGTTAGTTTTGGATAATAATTCAATTTTAGAGAAGTTAATAATTGCAATTTTTAGAAATAATTGAATTTAGTAAATGTTTCAAACTAAAATCTTTGAAAATCTGAATTTTTCTTATTTTTGATTAAAAATTCTATGGAACCAATTTTTTTTTTCAAAAAGCTTAATCAAAATATTTTTAAATTATTTGAAGATTTTATTTTTAATATGTATTTATTTGAAAAATTTCCGAATATTCGAAATTTTTGGTCAGGGAAAAATAGGGGTCAGGGAAAAAATTATAAAAAGGGAAAAAGTACAGACAAAAGTTTGGAAATCAGGGAAAAGCAAAATTAAATGTTCGTGGCAATCCTGTTAATTAATAAGATTAATTATTATTCGACTCAAAGCCAACTAGACTTTTTATTTGTTTGAAATAAATTTGATTCGGTTCAAAAATAATTAGTTAATTTTTTGAACTTTCGGAACTTTTGAAATTTGTGAAATGAGAACAAACAAAAATGGATCAATATTTGATAATTATCTTTTGATCAACTCACCTGAATGCGAGCCTCCGTCAAACCAATCTTCATGGCAAGTTCCTCTCTGCAAACAGAGAAAAAAAAGAAATGTATCATTAGTCGGACAAAGGACCAAGGACCCTCAAGGCCGTAACATTTACGCGCACTAATGGATTACATCCTGTTCTCGCAAAAATAATCCCTCCTCCTCCTCCTCCTCTCTATATACCCCGGATGCGCCATTATATTAAATCCCTCAAAAATTTTTATCTCTCTCTCCCGCTCTCGTCGCTCGTCGCTCGTCGGTTTTGTTTTTAAAAACTTCCCTCTACATTTTAATGCTGAGTTGCATAAAACAGGATAATAAAAAATTACACTTAACTTCTTTAATTGTATGTACGAAAATGATTTTTCGCTCCAAGAACGCGAAACGAATTGCAAATAAGATGAAACATTGTGTACAAAAAAACAAAAGGTTCTCGTGTTATAAAGTGTGAACCCTTTTTGCTTAATAATTATTGTTTTTTCTCTCTTTATATATATATATTTGAAGAATACATCAGAGTCGAAAATATACAATAATCATTTGGTCATTAATTTTTTAATTCTATAAAATTTAATTTAAATTTCTTTCTATTTTTTTTTAAGTTTTATTCTCTTTATTCTTTTCATATTTAAAATGTTTTCTGTTTCTTCTGTTTTATCGTCTTTACAAAAAAAAAAAATAATAAAAAGAAAAAAAAAAAAATTTAGTTTTTTAATTTTTTTTAAATTTTATCGTATTTAAAAATTTATCTTTTTCAAAATTTTTTATTTTAAAGTTTATTTTTTTATTTTTGAAACTTTTTTCTTTGTTTGTTCTGTTTTATGCTTTTTTCAAATCTCAAGAAGTGAAAATTGACGAACACTTTGAATTTGGATCAGTAGAATTCTACTGATTTTTTTTTCACTTAATGAACTCTCAAATTTAAAATGAATTAACTAATCAGTGAAATTTCAATTCAAAATTTGCTAAAATTTAACTGAATTTTCGGTTATTTTTTAAGTAATTGACTGATTGGACGAAACTGATGAATTTCAGTGATGAATATTATGTAGGTAATTTTATTTTCACTTTCATTTTTACTTTCATTTTTACATTCATTGTCACTTCCATTTTCACTTTCACAGATTTTAATTTTCATTTATTCAAATGATTTAAAAAAAATTTAATTATTCTTTTTCAAAACCATTAATTTTACCGAATTATTATAGTTAAACGTTTAAAAAATTCAAGTTTTGAGAGATTTTAATTTTAAAACTTTTTAAAATTGAATTATTTCTTAAAATTCATGATATATAATGCTTTTAATATTCAATTATCTAAAATCTTAACAGAAATTAATTTTCAAATTAATTTTTATTAGAAAATTCCCAACGAGAATTCAATTATTTAAATAAAAAAGAAACAATTTTTTGGATAATTGAATTATCAGAAACAATATTATCAACAAATTTTTAAATAATTGAATTCAATTGAATTCTTTCGACGAATTTTAATAAATTTTTTGATATTTACATTTTTCGAGGAATTTGATTAAAATTTAATTAAAAATAATTGAAATTCTTCGACGAGTTTTACTTATTATTTATAAAAATAATTAAATCTCTAAAAAGAATTTCATTCTTTAAGAAAATAATTGAATGTTTGCGAAGAAATTTATAAAAAATTTGTAAATAATTGAATTCCTGTGAAATTTTTATTATTTATGAAAATAATAAAATGTTTGCGTAAAATTTTTTAAGAATAATTATATTTGTTAAGGGATTTGATTAAAATTGTATTAAAAAGAATTGAAACTCTGCGTGATGAGTTTTATTATTTAATACTTATAAAAATAATTGAATTATTGCGAAGAAATTTATAAAAAAAATGTATAAACAAATTGAATTCTTATGGAAATTTTTATTAAAATAGTTGAATTTAAAAATCATTAAATGAAGAAAAATTTTTGAAAATAATTAAAATTTGGCCAAGAATTTTATTAAAGTTTTTGAAGATAATTGAATTTCAGAGAAGAATTTTATTATTTATGACAATATTTGAATTATTGCGAAGAAATTATTTATAAAAAATATGTAAATAATTAATAAATAATTTATATTAAAATAGTAGATATATTGAAAATCATTGAATTAAGGAAAATTAAAAAAATAAATAAATAAAATAAAATTAGGCCAAGAATTTTATTAAAAATTGATGAAAATATATTTGAATTTCGAAGAAGAATTTTATTATTTATAAAGATAATTTATGAAAATAATTGAATTATGGCGAAGAAATTTATAAAAAAAATGTATAAACAAATTGAATTCTTATGGAAATTTTTATTAAAATAGTTGAATTTAAAAATCATTAAATGAAGAAAAATTTTTGAAAATAATTAAAATTTGGCCAAGAATTTTATTAAAGTTTTTGAAGATAATTGAATTTCAGAGAAGAATTTTATTATTTTATTTATGACAATATTTGAATTATTGCGAAGAAATTATTTATAAAAAATATGTAAATAATTAATAAATAATTTATATTAAAATAGTAGATATATTGAAAATCATTGAATTAAGGAAAATTAAAAAAATAAATAAATAAAATAAAATTAGGCCAAGAATTTTATTAAAAATTGATGAAAATATATTTGAATTTCGAAGAAGAATTTTATTATTTATAAAGATAATTTATGAAAATAATTGAATTATGGCGAAGAAATTTATAAAAAAATTTTCAATTGAATTCCTGTGAAATTTTTATTATTTACGATAATAATTAAATGTTTGAGCAGAATTTTATGAAAATTTTTTTAGATAATTGAATTCTTTTGGAAAATTTTTATTGAACTAGTAGATATCAAAAATCAGTGAATTGAGGAAAATTTTTGAAAATTATTTAAAATTTTTCCAAGAATTTTATTAAAATTTTAGAAAATAATTAAACGGAAAAGAATTTTATTATTTAAATTCTTGGAGATTTTTTTTTATATTTTTGAAAATTATTGTAATTGTAATAATAAATTTAAAATACATAATTAGAATATAAATTCAAAAATTTATTATCAGAAAAGTAAAAAATAAATTATTTCGAAAAAAGGAGTGAGTGAGTGAGTGAGTGAGTGAGTGAGTGAGTGAGAGGGAACAATTTGATCCCGTATGAGAAAGCACTTTTTCGCACAAGGACATCGCGTATCGCCGAGGAGAGGAACGAATGCGCGAATTGAAAATAACACAGAGAAAAGAGTAGTTTGTGTATGTGTGTATGTGTGTGTAGGGGGAACGGCACAGGGCAATTAGGGACAGCCGTCTAACCACAAAATTTCGTGATCTTATTAAATCCAGGGAGTTAGATGCCATATAGTTGGAATATAGAGGAGGGAGTGGGGGATCGAGAGCGGTCGCTGAAAAAAGGGAAAGGTAAAAAAGGTAAAATTGCCAGGTTGCTAAAAGAACGTATGTGCAGAAGCGTGGCATTATCGTGAGAGGTTTAGCTTTACAATGTACCTACTTCATTGAGACAAGCGCGTTCAGGAAAACAGGTACGGATTATCCGCCGCTTCCACCACTTTCAACAGGGTAGCGATTATCGGAGTCGTAATCAACCTCTCGTACTTTCTTTATGGAGAAAAGCGAAAACTATGTATTTGCATTTATTTTGCAAAACGGTAGTTTTCCTTTTTTATTCTCATTCATAATTTTTATTTTCACTTTGACTTTGACTTTGACTTTAACTTTGACTTCGAATTTGAAAGTCAAATGCGAAAGGCGAGTCAAAGTCAAAATCGCTTTAAAATTAACTTTGAAAGTAAAAGTCAAAGTCAAATTAACTTTGAAAGTTAAAGTGAAAGTCAAAGTTAAAGTCAAATTAACTTTTAAAGTCAAATTTAATTTTAAAAGTCAAGTTAACTTTTAAAGTCAAAGTGAAATTAACTTAGAAAGTCAAATTTAATTTTAAAGTCAAATTAACTTTTTAAGTCAAAGTAAAAGAGAAATTAACTTTATAAGTCAAAGTGACATTAACTTAGAAAGTCAAAGTCAAATTAACTCTGAAAGTCAAATGCAAAGTAAGAGTGAAAATAACTTTAAAATTCAAAGTCAAAGTGAAATTAACTTTGAAATTCAAAGTCAAAGTAAAATTATCTTTGAAATTCAAAGTCAAAGTGAAATTAACTTAGAAAGTCAAAGTCAAATTAACTCTGAAAGTCTAATTCAAAGTCAAAGTGAAATTATCTTAGAAAGTCAAAGTCAAATTAACTCTGAAAGTCAAATTCAAAGTAAAAGTGAAAATAACTTTAAAATTCAAAGTCAAAGTGAAATTAACTTAGAAAGTCAAAGTCAAATTAACTCTGAAAGTCAAAATCAAAGTCAAAGTGAAATTATCTTTAAAATTCAAAGTCAAAGTGAAATTAACTTAGAAAGTCAAAGTCAAATTAACTCTGAAAGTCTAATTCAAAGTCAAAGTGAAATTATCTTAGAAAGTCAAAGTCAAATTAACTCTGAAAGTCAAATTCAAAGTAAATGTGAAAATAACTTTAAAATTCAAAGTCAAAGTGAAATTAACTTAGAAAGTCAAAGTCAAATTAACTCTGAAAGTCAAACTCAAAGTCAAAGTGAAATTATCTTTAAAATTCAAAGTCAAAGTTAAAGTCAAATTAACTTTGAAAGTCAAAGTCAAAGTGAAATTTAATTAGAAAGTCAAAGTCAAATTAACTCTGAAAGTTAAATTCAAAGTCAAAGTCAAAGTCAAAGTCAAATTAACTTTGAAAGTCAAAGTCAAAGTGAAATTTAATTAGAAAGTCAAAGTGAAATTTAATTAGAAAGTCAAAGTCAAATTAACTCTGAAAGTTAAATTCAAAGTCAAAGTCAAATTAATTTTAAAAGTGAAAGTCAAAGTGAAAATAAAAGTCAAAGTCAATGTCAATGTAAAAGTCGAATCGAGAGTGAAAGTCAAACTACAAAATCGCACCCAATGTACTAAAAAAATAATTCAGTTAAACGTTAAAAAAATCGCAAAACAATTTTTGGAAAATGTCAAAATAGTGAAATAAGGATTCA